CCCCGCCCCCCCCTTAATCCGCGCCTGCTATTAGGTCGTGAGTAGGCTCAAAAACCTTGTATTTGGACATTGCACGCGACATAGGCCCTCTCAATTTCAAACCTTCGTGCAAAACGCAGTCCCCTACCCGTCCTCCTGCAAGTCCGTACCATTATTGGTTCAAACAAAGCTTTGGACCCAGCTCGGATCACTTGCAGTGTGGGGTGGTGGGGCCCGCCCGCACAGCAGTGCAGCTGGCCCGGCACGCTGTGACGCCACTGATCGCCGTGCTCACCCTCGCTCACCCCCACGGCTGCCCTGGCTGCCCTGGCTGCCCAGTCCCAGTGCCCAGTAGGACCAGGAGGGAGTCTGGGCCGGACCCGCGCCAGGATTCTGAGCAGTTGCTTGGGGTGGAGGGGGAATACACATGGAGTGGGAGACCGTGGCCCGTGGCCCGAGCGCGGCGCTCGTCGAATGGGTTGCCTACCCGGACGGCGCTAGGCCTCACCGAGCGATGAACATGTCTCGAGCTAGCCTAGAGCGAGAGACAACCAGGCTGAGCCGCGGGCTATGCGTGAGGACTGAGTAGGTTATGAAAGTAAATAACAAAATTTCGGATGATTGGTGTTAATTGCAATGTTGGCGACTTGCTCCCGATGCCCTAAGGTACTTCCGTGCTTGCTCCCCGCAGTTTATGACGTCTGCAGAACTTGCCTTTCCCTAGCCCGTCAAGCACTTGACGGCCTTCTTGGCCTCGGGGAAGCTGGCGAGACCCGCGCACGCCACCCACGCCTCGGGGCCCGCGAGAGCCGTGGGGCCGCAGCCGACGCCCTTCGTGATGAGGCTGGTCGGCACGCCGGAGTTCTGCAGGCACTGGGCCTTGTCGCCGGCGTAGTTCAGCACCGTGTTCTTGACTTTATTGGCGAGTTTTCCTAGGCTGAAAGGCTTCGGCTCCGGCATGGGATTGGCAGCCGACAGCTGGAACCGATAAGTCGAGCGTCACTCAGGACATTCAGCACAGCAGATGTTGACGGGGGGTCCCTCGACAAATTAAAAGTACTGGCATTTAAACACTTAGAAGTTCGCGCCAAATTTCTTAGAAAAAGGAAACAGTAAATGCTTTACGAAACAAAAACTTCATACTGTGAAGCACATTTCTATGCCACAAGATTTTGAACATCTTCCGGGTTGTAAAGTAAAGTTTTCGTAGCCCTAGAGGCTTGTTTCCTGTGTCACGTTACTTACCGCCACCAGGGCACACAGGGCAAGGAGGACGGGAGCGGTGGAAGCCATGGTAGTCGTGGGCGGACTGTGCTACCGTGGACTGGAAAAACGCTCCCTTTTATGTCCAAATGTAACGTCAGTGCACAACGCAACAGGTATGCACGTCAGTCACGGATTCGTGACCCTCGTCATAACTTTTTCATGACCACAGTAAAAATAATGTCTGTTTTAAGAAAAAAAATAAAACTTTAAGAAACTCTCATGTTTGAGGAGAAAAACTCCTAAGATGTCGACACCTCAATAGAGGAACGTGGTTCCCACAAGTGTGGAAAACCTGGAATGTACTTGACAGTCCTGGAAAAATAACATGGTCCTTGAAAGTCGTGGAAAACGCCAGGAGCCCAGGAGCTAAAATGTGGGAACCATGACCATGATGAAGTAAATTCCCACGTTTTTGAAGAACTCCAAATCTAAAGGGGTTTCCTTCTAATGTAGTAGTTCCTCAAGGTTTTCCCCTTTCCCTCACAAAATCAGACATTGTTTTCACCATGGGGGAAGTGGTCGCATGCGTCGTGTTGTCTTCGGTAGCAGAAAACTGTCTGTTGATTATCGGATGATTGTAGGACAACTGATAAAATCGGTCCTAAATATATTTACTCTATTACGTGAATTTCAATTTCGCACGAAAAAGACGTTAGTTGACGATTGTGGTATCTGAATAACCAAGTGTTAGCTGTTTGAGCTAACGCGGACTTCAGTAATGTATGCACCAGCTCCCAAGGCAAAAAAAAAGTTCCCTCAGAGAACGGATCGTGAAAGCAGATGATATAAATTTCAGACCAGTGTGTCGTTTTACCTTGTCCTAACAACTGCACCCAGAAGACCGTAACTTTGACTTAACGAAATCACGAACTGACGATTATTTTCGTTGATTAGAAGAAAAAAAAGTTCTTTAGCTCAAACAAAATTTGTTCAATCTGACAAAACTTTCGTTCTGTGAAAGAAATTTTTTCGTTATATGAACGAAAAAGATTTCTTTGGTTTCTGGCACGAAATTTTCGTTGAATTGAATAAAACTTCTTTAATTCAAAGAAACGGCCTTCTGGGTGTGGAAACGCTCAGTATGGTCTACGTTAAAATTCTGCTTATTTCAATGAGACGAATGCACAACGCCTAGACTGCAGAGGGTCTTATGTCTTAATTTGCTATCAGAGTTTTCGAATAGACAGTTTAAAAGTCCCGCGCCTGCTCCAGATCCTATTGCGAGCGAGAGTACAAGCTGATGAAACATCGAACCAATTAGTTTCTTTTTGGTTACTGGTGACTTCCTGCTTCTTTTGTTCTTGTTATGTATTTTCTTGATGTACCATCTGCTAAAAACTAGCTTCAGCGCTCCGGTCCGGGAGCGCAAAGACAGCGCATCGTTGTGGTGTGGCAGCGGCTGGCGAAAGGGGAAAATTGGGAGGAAAGTGGGGGGGGGGGCAAGCGCAGCGAGCCGCGAAGGTGGAGGAGGAAGAGGAGGAAAAACAAAATGTGACAAGAGACGTCAGAAGACAAAAAATATAGGTGTGTGTGTGTGTGTGTGTATTTTTTAAAAATAGGGGACTGTCTAAAAATTAGCCCACAGCGCTAAAAAGACCAGGCCAGAAAGCCCCACAGTTTTTCGTACATCTTGTGGCGTGGCGGCGCGCGGTCTGCCAAACACCCTCCGCCGCCGCCGTGCGGCTCGCCCTCCTGTGGTACATATAGGAAGGGGAGGGGAGGGAAGCCACTTTGCCCTCTAGTAGAGACCGTCTTCAGTGGACTGTCTGGCGTCGGACAACAAAATGGTGTGGAACGCTCTGTTTTTCACACACTGCAAAAAATTAGAGTCCATATTACGAAATAATCTACGGCGTTACTTTAGATGCCGCTCTTAGTCACTGCATCTAGGGTAAAGAGCGCGGAGTACAGTGTCGTTATAGCACCGGAAAGCCCATGTTTTACATGGCAGTGTACGAATACAGCTCCTTTTGTCATGTCTTGGAGACCGATGAGCGATAAACCTCGAGATAGCTAGCTTCGGGCTAGCCTCGAGCGAGAGAGAACCAGACCAGGCGGAGGGCGGAGCCGTGGGGTGGGCTATGATAAAAGACTGAGTAGATTGAAACAGGTAACTAGATTTTATATATGATTAGTGTGAAATACGATGTTGACTTGCTGCAGATACCGTAGACACTGGCCGCTGAGATGGTACGTAGTTCTTCTGTGCTTGCTTCCCGCAGTTTATGACATCTGCAGAACTTCCCTCTCCCTAGCCCGTGAAGCACTTGATGGCCTTCTTGGCCTCGGGGATGCTGGCGAGGCCCGCGCACGCCGCCCACGCCTCGGGGCCCGCGAGAGCCGTCGGGCCGCAGCCGACGCCTTTCTTGATGAGGCTAGCCGGCACTCCGGTGTTCTGCAAGCACCTGCCCTTGTCGCCGGCGAAGTTCATGACCGAGTTCTTGACTTTATTAGCGATTTTTCCCAGATTAAAAGGCTCCGGCTCCGGCATGGGATTGGCAGCCGACAGCTGGAACCAACAGTGCAATAGTCAAGCGTCGCTCACAGTCAGGACATTCAGCACAGCAGATGTTGACGCATTAAAACTTGTGACATTGAAACACCTAAAAGTTCGTGCCAAAAAAAGACAACGGTAAATTCTTTACGAATAAACTTCGTACTGTGAAGCATTTCCTGAAAAATCTTTACAACAATCACTTTCAGTTCGAACCTTGTATTCCTACTCTCGCCTACGCTTACGATCAACTAAAAATTAGTTCGCAATACAGCGCTTCAAATTTCTTATAGGCCTTATAGGGTATTTACAAACCTGTGCTTCGTAAGCATTTTGCAGTGTATTAAAATAGTTTTACACATGCGAAAAAGCAAGTGTCCTCTAAGTCATTCACAGCAGCATTTTGAGCCGCGTCTGAGTAAAAGCACAGCAAGCACCTTACTCCGAGTGTAGTCCGCTCCGCGCGCGCTTGCCACCCTCGACCCTCGTGAAATATAGTGTAGTTTTAAAACTTGGAGTCGATAATGCACAAAGACACTACGAAGACGAATCAACAAAAATAATGATGAAATAGCGCTCTGCCTATAACACCTGAGATCAAAATTATCATAAAAGTGGGTTCGTTTCGCCGTTAACAAGAATTGTTAACGTTTTTTTCCAGATGGTACGCAGTGTCAGTAACTAGCACTGTAGTAATTTAGTAGAGTATGGTCTTCTGTTACTTACAGCCACCAGGGCGCATAGAGCGAGGAGGACGGGAGCGGTGGAAACCATGGCATTCGTGGAGGGACTGTGGGACCGTGGGCTGTGAAAGGCTTCCTTTTAAAGGCTTAATGTAAAGCAAATACAGTGCTTCAAATTTCTTATAGGCCTTATAGGGTATTTACAAACCTGTGCTTCGTAAGCATTTTGCAGTGTATTAAAATAGTTTTACACATGCGAAAAAGCAAGTGACCTCTAAGTCTTTCACAGCAGCATTTTGAGCCGCGTCTGAGTAGCACAGCAAGCACAAAATTATGATAAAAGTGGGTTCGTTTCGCCGTTAACAA